ATAAAAGAGTACTTACCACTCCACCACACATTAATAAACTAAAGGCAAACAATGAAATATAATAGGTCAATATATGCATTTTCAAAATGTGAAAAATATTGTTTATGGATTATTATACTCCATAAATTATTTATTTATATTTTTGTGTATCAAGTGGTTTTTTTAAAAGCTGATTAATAATGCAGTCGGTGGATATGCAAATCTTCATAGAACTTTGACAATTAATATTCTTCTCCCTAATAAACTATACCATAACATTAATTAATTATAGTTAATTAATTAGTTCTCCTGGTTCTCTTTACCCAGTTTCAGTTCATCAATTATTTTAATTTTTATTCAAAGAGTATTGTGTGGTTGATCCAAAAACAGCCGACTTAGTCTTTTGTTTAATTAATTAATTAGTAATGGAACATTTTTTGATTATCAATAAATAAATAAATAAATTTAATGGGACATTTTTATCCACTTTTTTTTCTGTGAAATAAATAAATAGAATATTGATTTGACACCCACAAAACAACATGCTTTTGCCTTAGCCAAAAATAAAAATAAAATTGTAGAAAGAAGGAAGAAATTACACATTACAATCAGGGGCGTAGCCATGTGCATGTGAGGGTGTCCAATTCATCAAAAAAAAAAAATACTATATATACTAGTAAAATGATACACAAAATGATTAAATAACATATTCTGGACATCCTTAATACAATAGGTTGTTGTAGCCCAACAATTTTAGACCCCTTAGATGGGTTCCAGATTTCTTGAATGATCCAGTGCTTGTATGTTCAAATCTCACTAGCAGCAATTTACCCCCCTTTTTAAAACGAGCTTTTGTTGTGTAATTTCTGAATACCCTTCGTAAAATTCCTAGCTTCACCACTGATTACAATCTAGTGATCTACTATTTTATTTCATTTCTTTTGAAAAAAATCATAATTTTTATGTCCAAACGCTTGCTAATAAAAGTTGTACATGTGTATAAAGCATGCCACATAAAGATTATAGTAATTCTATTAATATTGACTCAATATCATAATTCGACAAATATTGACTCAATTTATATTATTATCTTAGATAATAATTTGATATTTTATTTAACAAATATATAATCAAACATTAATTCAAGGCTAACGTTATTCAAAAGAATAATTTTTAAGAGTTATATTTGCATGATTTTTAAAAATAAAGACAAAATCTAAATAGAGACTTGAAAAAGAGATATTTGTGAGATACGTTATAACTTTAAATCACAAACATTAATTTTTTTTGATTTTTTTCTTTTTAATTTATAAATATTAAATTATATCACATAAATTAAAACGTACAAAACAATATTTTGTAAAGGAAGTTGACTCTAGAATTGTTCTCTTTACATGTTATTCACGATCCAACACACTAAATTCATCACATTTAGTTGATGGAATATTTGGTTAAGGATATTACTATTGGGTACAATTAAATATTATAATATAAAGTTTTTTCCTCATTTATTTGTGTGGACAGACTAAAAATCAAATCTTTCTAAAAAGCAAAAAGCAAAAAACTAAGATACGTACGTCTGTAAATAGAGAATACAGCTGGTGGTGTTTGGTTGAGAATCTTCAAAAAAATAATAATAGAATAATGGAATATTATTCTTCGTATTTATGGATAAAATTATTCGATATTTATATGAATAAATTTATTTGATACTTATATGAACGAGAAATAATATATATTGCTTATATTTTGGTGGGAGATATTTCATCTGTCTCAATTTAAGTGATGTAGTTTGATTAGATATAAAATTTGAGAAACAAAGAACTTTTTGTTTGAATCTTGTAATCTTAAATTAAATATGTATATGATCTTTTAAATCTTGCGATTTTAAACTTGTTAAGTAGAATATTGAAATTTAAAAACTTACAAAATATAATAAGTAATAACATTCTTTTTAGGACATACTAAATAAAAAAAATCCACTTAAATTAAAATAAAGAGAATAACATATACTGTCTAATTATGGGAGATAACATATACTACCTTATAGTGGCAAAACATGTAACACCTAATGAAATCTTAGAGTTGCTCGATATTTATATTGGTAAATAGTAACAAATACTTAATAATGAGAAATATCATGTATTGGTGAAAGATAACAAATTTCAATAAGATAATTGAAGTCCGAACAAACTAATTTAGAAATCAAAGCTATATACTTTTGCTATTCATTTTTACTTGTTCATCATTCTAAAAATAGATTTTCAGTTTTAGTTGTCACTTTTTATATATCAAGAGAATTTTTTTTTCTTGTTTTACTCTCAACATTAATTACTTATTTCTCAAATCATTTTTCAAAACCTAAGACTATATATCAATTAATATGCATATGATAATAAACTACTCATATTAATCGTTATATCTTAAGAAATCTGCAAAATCAATGTAAATAAATAGACATAACGAACATATCAACAAAATAACATTTTTTTTTCTGTTTACTCTCAATATTAGTTACTTATTTATCGAATCATTTTTTAAGACATAAGACTATAAATCTACTTGTAACAAACTATTTATATTAATCGTTATATCTTAAGAAATCTGCAAAATCAATGTAAATAAATAGACATAACGAACATATCAACAAAATAACTATTTTTTCTGTTTACTCTCAATATTAGTTACTTATTTATCGAATCATTTTTTAAGACATAAGACTATAAATCTACTTGTAACAAACTATTTATATTAATCTTTATATCTTAAGAAATCTGCAAAATTTAACATAAACAAATAGACGTGAACGAACATATAATTTTTTTTTTTTTCTGTTTTACTCTCAATATTAGTTACTTCTTTATCGAATCATTTTTTAAGATCTAAGACTATATATCTACTTGTAACAAACTATTTATATTAATCGTTATATCTTACGAAATATACAAAATTCAGTGTGAACAAGTAAACGTGAATGGATAGAAACTAACTTCACCAACGTAACCAAC